AAACTTGTTGGAAATTATTAATTTCTAGGGATGTAACGATTCACTCAACTCACGATTCGATTCGATTCGATTCACGATTTTTTTTATTATTTCTTTTTTTTTACAAAATGAGATTTAAGACAAATTATAAATTAAATGTGTCCTTTTATTATTGCTTGGACAAAATGCTGCACATTTCTTTGTGAAATTGAAATATAACACTATATATACTAATATAGAAATGGCTTAAAGGTAAAAATGCCCATAAAACTGGTTGGAAATGATTAATTTCTATCACCTGCTGTGAACTGACCACACAGAATATGAAGAATATCAAAAAATTCAGGAGTCAGCTGTCGGCACAATTAGAGATGAGATATCAGCACAATAACACACTCGGCAAAATATTGTCTAATTATCGTTATCGATAAAATCATGAGGCAGCGCTGCCCTAAACGCTAGTTTTCCACATGAATATCTGCACATACATTAATTGAATACCAGGGATTGACAAATGCACATTCATACTGATGCTTGGTGTTGATGTTTAGGATAATAAAGCAGAGAAGAGCGAGGCGGCAGCGTCGTCATCCTCTGGTCAAGCCAGTATGAAGTCTGTTCTGGATGGGCTGGGCGACCTGTGGGACCAGCAGCAGTACGAGAAAGAATACGACCTGGACAGCTTCATGCACTCACTTAAATGAGCCCAGTTCAACATGCACAACCAGAAATGACTTGAAGCCGTCTGATTGGACAAACGGAGAGATGTGCGCAAGCACTGTAGCCTTAAACACTCCAGTCTAACGCTCGTCTTACAGCTCTTCCTCTTCCTGTAGGTTCTTACAATTCGCTCGAGATTTGAGATCTAAAACTGTCCGTTATTAATGCGTCACTGGAGGAAGTCTTTAAGCTAATCTTACAAAGTTGAGTGTTGTACAGATGACAACATTTGAACCTCAGGATTTCCAGAACTCACCATCAGTATCCGTGATGACAGTATTTCAGAAATGAATGAAGGGAGCTGGTGAGACCAGAACTGGAACGCACTGAAACGCTTCCACAGAATGACTTTAACGGTTCATCCAGACCACTAGGAGGCGCTTGACTAACTCCTGTAGGATTATGAAGGGCTTGTAGCTGCTGCTCCATCAGAAGTCTTACATGCACTGACTGAGATCTTTAGGTACAGCTGGAAGAGCAGCAGGACAATGGCCTCGGAAACATTGTAGAGTTTTAAAAGGAAAAGATAAACTAAATATTTCTGTTATTTGCCTTTTTTGGGTAAGCTGGTAGAATTTTAATAAATTCTAACGAGCTCTCTTTAAAATGCCTTGTCTGTGTCTGTCTGCATTTATGGAGTATTTAAATGTCATGTATTACAGAATTAATTGAAGTGTGTATATAATATGCCAATATGTACATTATGCCAAAATAAATAAAATAAAATAATCCATCTAGCAAATTACACCAAAAAAAAAACAAAAAAAACATGACACTTAGATGCTTCATTATATCTGGTATAGCTGCTCATGTTTATATGTTATTTTAATGTATTATTTTTAAACAGCAGCCAGGTAAAATTACATTGCAAGAGCCCTCCAAAAATTCAGCCACTGAAACCGGTAAAAAAATATACAGGCCATGTATTTTTTTTTTTGCAAAAAATATCTAAAAAATAATGAAAAAATTTCTCAGTACAAAGGCTACATTACTACTGGAAGGTACTAGCACGTCGAGTAAACACAGTAGAAAATGATTTTAGTGAATCACAATGCTCGCAATGAAAATAAAGCTGAATGAAATTTTTCTTTTTTACAAACAGTACAAACAGTATTGCACATTACAACAAAGAGGTTCTCAGCCTTTAAAAAAGGGACTAATTCAAGTCTCGGGTGAGTAGAAGGCCACCACATCAGCGACGACGCATCTGGGGCTTGAAAGTTGAAACGTTTCATATCTTTCCAGCTTCCCAAATGAACATTCTTTTCTCTCCATCTTGCCAAAAATCATAACTATTCTGTTATCCCGAAACGAACAAATCGGGGCATGTGCGCTTTACAAAACAAAGGGGAACACATCATTTCACCAAACATAAAAATATAACGAACAGAAGATTTTCAGCATAGGTCTGATTGCAAATATATAAAAACTAAGTAGTATGTTTATAAGCACCTGACGGCCTGTTGACCCTATAGAATATATATATTTATGTCAAATATATATATTTTATAATAGTAATAAGATCAGATGTTTGTTTGTGGAACGCTGTGCTGTCGCAGCAGGGACAGCTTCCTACAGTATTAAAATAATACAGCTCGAACTCCTTCAGTTGTTTTTGTTTTTAATAGTTTTTTTCCAAAAATAAAAGTAAAAGCAAATAAGCATGACAAAAATAAAATTAAGCATCTGTTAAATCTTTTTTTTCTCTCTAGCAGAATTAAATTAATATATATATAGTCTTTATTTGAATAAACTTACTTAGAAAATATCAATCTCTCTCCTATTATATTTCAAAATTGAGGTATTGCAAAAGATTAGTCAGTCAGAAAGCACACATTTTTCTATTTAAAAAACAAAACAAAACAACGCTGACTGTTCAACCATCCAAATACAAAGAGTAGTGCATAACAAATCTACTACACAGAAGGAACAAACAGAGAAAAATCTGGGCAGGGAAAGAAATATCTCAAACACACCCAGAATTCACCATCATTGGGATCAGGGTTACCCACAATCCTTTTTCTCCATCGGTACAAAAGTATTGTTCGCGTGTGTCGTTTTTTCAGACTAACGAACTAAACGTGCCAACCTAAAGCTGGCCGTTTTTTTTTTTTGACTCTCGAAAAAAAAAGCAGCCAAGACGCGAATCTGGATATAAATGCAGCGGTTACGTGAGGTAATTCCGCCCGCCGTATCTCTAAATTAGGTAACGTTAAGTGATTTCGAGCCAGTGTTCGCTTATTCTCCCAGAGTCACCGGTCGGACACAGTATTGTGAATCGTCGGCGAGTAACGTAGTGTAATTGGTCGTTTCGAGTCGGACAGCTCTTTGGTTCTGGCGGGACGCTAACTAGCAGAAGTGGACCGTATGTTTACATACGCTAGTTTCACAGGACGTTCCATGTCAGACATCAATAACAGTTCAAGCGAATCACAGTTCTAGGCGTCGTCTAACCGAACTACATAGTGTATAAAAATTGCACAATTCTATGAACAATCACTGCAAAAATGACTTCACCTGTTAGAAGACATTTCGCTAGAAGATCCTACATCTAACTGGGTTGAGCGGTTCTGTCATCCGGCTGGTCTCAAGTTTTTTCTTTTTTTTTTCTTTTTTTCGCAGTAGGCCTATTCCTGTCATGCCCAGTTTGTGCCCTGTGGAAGCTTATTTCTGCCAAAAAATAAAAGACTTTTTAAACTCACAATTCTGAGTTTATATCTCACAACTGTGAGAAGTTGAACTGTAATTGCAAGTTTATAAGAAATAAACGTGCAATTCTGAGAAAAGTCAGAATTGTGAGATATAAACAAAAAAGTCAGAATTATGCAAAGAAAAAAATTTGTGAGCTTGCGAGTTTCCACCATGGAATACAAAAAAAATTAACAATTCTGACTTTGCCAAAAAATAAATACAAACAAAAATAAATAAATACAAATCAGAAGACAATAAAAAAGAATAAAAAATAAAGAGGTAATTGCGACTTTTTATCTCACAATTCAAAATTTTTTCTCTAAATTTCGAGTTTATATCTCACAATTTAGACTTTTGCTTTAGGTTTATCTCGCAACTGTAATTTGACATCTTGCAATTCTACGTTTATATCGCACAATTCTGACACTTTTTTTCTTCACAATTTTGAGAAGAAAAGTCAGGATTGTCAGATATAAACTCTCAATTGTGAGAAAAAGTCAGAATTGTGATCTTGTTTTTGCCATGGAATACAAAAAAATGTAACAAACTTTTTATCTAACGATGCTGACTTCTTTTCCTCGTAATTGCGAGTTTATATCTCAGAATTCAAACTTTTCCCCGCTCACAATTCTGAATTTGTCAATTTTTCCCCTCACAAGTCAGATTTGTGAGATAAAAAGATGCAATTAGCTTTTTTATTTCTGATTCTGTGGAGGAAATAAGCTTCCGTAGTGCTCCACATCGCTCACCCATTGTGGGGGAAATGAAAGTGAGACCCGATTTTACAGCATGCATCGCAGACTCATTTGACATGCAGTTTCGGAGAGACCCTTCGGAGCGCTCGTTCGCCTGAATAAAGTATGACGGTATGGACTCATACCATGGATTTAGCAGCAAAAGCTATTGCAGCATTACATGAAGATAATACTAAAAACTCGTAAAAAATTAAGCCTAAAAAACCGAAGCGAACAGAAAGAGATGCATGCATGAGGTATTACTATTCATTTCAACATGGAGAGCAAATGGCGTTTTACTCTTAATAACGCAAGTTTTTTTTTTTTTTTTTAACAGCTCACTTAAACATGATTTTCGTAATGAATTCATTTTACCTTTTAGTAACTTTTTTTGTCGTCATCTAGGGGGGAATTTCCTACCACTCTGTTTTTCACAATAAGTGCATGCTTCTTTAAAACGTCTGACACCCAAAATGTATTATCTATGTGTATATAGATAAATACAGCCTTTTTGTAAATGCACTGTATATATTATATATATATATATATATATATTTTTTATTATTTAATCAAAACAACCCAACTGTCTCACACTGCCTAATGTTACCTACATGGAGCACTAAAGCGATCAAACGAAGGATAATGAGAGAATTAAAGCACAACATCCTGACAAGTGTTAACATCGACTGTTTGTGCCAAAGTGCAACGTTTGAGCACGCAGACTCAAAATTCATATTTTCCTAAGTGTTTGTAAGCAGAGAATATAGTGGACAGAGATACCATGATATTTGTTTTCTAAAACAAACGATGAGGGTGGAGATCCGTGTGCGGTCACTGGTCATGGTGTTGAAGGTGTTGGGTGGGTGGAGAGGGTGTTGTGCCGCTTGCCATCAGCTCCAGTGGAAGGACACATGCCGAGGTCGATCTCCGCCCTCCTTCACCAGCGGTTTGTGGAACTCTCGGCCGGCGCGCGAGTGGATGCTCGCCCAGCAGTACTCGCAGTAATACTGCAGACAGGTGACGTTGGCACAGAAAAAAGGGGCGAACTTTCCTCCGCAGCGAGCGCCCTGACATTCATCGCACATCTGATCGTCCAGCACGTACGGCTTCACCTCCACCTGTGGACATGGGCAGAGAGAGCGATTATACGTTTCTAAAAACACATACATATAGACGGTTTTAACGGAAACAACATAAATAAACGTTACTGCACATGCACGCTTTTGTGGCCCAAACTTAACTTCCGGTAGACTTTCGCAAAGAATCAATAACAACAGTAAGGTCCCTCTACAGTAGACTATTTCTGATTACAAGCAAAATATGTTTGCTGCGTAGTAATATAAAAACACCAGCGCTACATTTTGATTTTGAAACGCGCAGTGTTCATGTTTATTCAGCGAAGTCAAAGCCTTTTGGAAAATCTATTTGTGGTGGTCTGTTTTGATATTGTGGCGAGCCGCCACAAATAAATCAATGTATGGGAAACACTGCATCCCACAGCAAAAAACCTGAGCCCAGCTTCAGTCTACTCATCACCTCAACTTTAAATGCATTGGTAGTCGGCGCCACTGGCCAGACCAATAAACCAACACAGACCGGAAGTGTGCGTGTGTGCCCGATGAAACCGTCTAGAAGTAAAACTGTTCGAATGTTTGGGGTTAGCAAGTTTTTTTTTTGGGGGGGGGAAATTAATACTTTTATTCAGCAAGGATGCTTTACATTGATCAAAAGTGACAGTAAAGATATTTATGTTACAAAAGCTGTCTATTACAAATAAATGCTGTATCACACAGACAGACAGACAGACAGACAGAATGCATGAACAGGTTTATATATATTTATTCATCATATATTTATTTATATTTTTTAGATATGATATATAAAAATCTTATAATATTATTATATATAATTTAACAATATTTAAAATATGAAACGGTAATACTAACCGTGGGGTATTTTATCACGATTTATCGTCAGACCGGTAATCGTTACATCCCTAATGCACATATATAAATATATAAACTGATTTATATATTTTTATTCATCATATATTATGTATAGTATTTATATTATATATACATTTATATTATAAGTGCTGTCAATCGATTGAAAAAAATTTTACTAATTAATCACATATTTTTCTGAAATTAATCTAGATTAATCATGATTAATCCCACCTGACATTAAAGATTTTAAATATACTTTTTTATTTCTATAATTTTACATTCAATCTTCAAATTAAATGTAGAAAAAAGATAAGGACAGCATATTTTTAAAAAGATGTTTAATAGCATCTTTTTTTTTATGACTGAAGGCGAGTGTCGCTGGTACCAATACTACTGTTGTCTCTATGAAATAGTTTTTTCCCCCTAATATTTAACCATTAACTATATTTTATGCTGACTTTAACATTACAGTAGAATTGAGAGCTATCAATTTTAACATTTATTAGACTTTAAAAAAGAACAAACAAAATAACACCTTCTAATTTAGGTGAATTTAAAATAATCTTCACATAAACCCATTATAATAAATGTCATTCCTGTGCCCCTCAGCAAGTAGGAAATATAGAAGCAGCAGTTGTGAGTGGGTTGTGAGCCAACCCTAGCTCCGCCCCTGCGTTAAATATTTTTAACGCCGTTAAACTAGAAAAATGAATCGCCTGCATTAACAGGCTAATTTTGGCAGCACTCCTTTTCTATATAGTTTGTAATGTTTACATATTTTAGTAATATATATGTAATATTTAAGATTATAATTTTTTTTGTTTTATATATTTAGATAGAAGAACTAAATGCATTAACGGGTTTAACAAAGCAAACTTAAAATCTCTACATTTACCCATCAAACCTTGCTAACTACCCCCTAAGAATCACTGTGGTAGATGATGTCTACTACTGACTTTAGTTTCTAAATTCACATTTACACTAACAGCTCAAAATGAACTAGTATTTGAGGATGTGTCATGTAGATGGAGGGGTGATTCTGGTGAGCATCTAGTTTTAGTCCAGTGGCCATCAGCTATTTACTTCTGAATAACATTCCCAAAACAGTCCAGTAAGTCCAGTGTGTACATATGCGCACAGGAATAGCATGGAGCTATAATTAACAAACGCCACGTCTGAGACTTCAAATGGCTGTCAGGCCTCCAGAAGCCCATGGTCATGTTGATTACACACAGTCTGCTCTGGGGTTTCCACAGTCTGTATTGTTGGCCGTATGGAAACGGCCTGCAGGAAAACCACGGTACAGAAACTGCCACTATGCAATCACATCACAATTACAGTTAAAAAAGTACAGTATAAACCTCTTCTGGGACTCGTCTAGTCAATACGGCATTCATAGCATTCTGCAAATTTTTTAAATGGCCCATGATTATGCAGATTTACAGTTTGTAAAGAGTCTTTGACACCACTGCTCTTCAGTGCATCTCATGCAAACAGTCTGGTAAACTCTGGCTGTGTTTTGAAAGGTCAAGCGGCGTCAAAGTTCAAATCGTTTCAAGTAAAATGTCACATTATAAAGTGTTGCTGACTGTATCGCTGTAGCTTAATGCTTCATTGTATAACGTTCAGTGCACTAGGACCAGTGTTATTTTAGTATAATTGAGAGACCACTATAGTTTTTAATCAATATTTTGAATTAGTTTTTATTTTTATATTTTTGATTTTATATTTATATTTTTTTGTAGTTATTTTTATTTTATATTTACATTTTATATATTTTTTCCATTTCATTGTAATTTTAGTTAAAATTTAAGTAATTGTATTGTGCTTTTGTTATTTTAATTATTGTTTTTAATATCAATAGTTTTTATTTCAGTTTTAATATTTTAGTACATCAACGTAAACTAAACATACATACATATACATATATATTTTTATTTTTACTTTATTTCAGTATTATTTTATTTCATGTATTGTCATTTTTATAGTTTTAGATTTATTTTCATAACCCTGATTAGGAGTTATGAATAGAATTTTGCTATTAAATCAGCTGTCTTCTGCATCGTGTAGAATGACAAACATTGCAGCTCACTCACCCGTTTGTCAATGTCATTATGCTGCAGCTGGACAAATCTGGCGCTGATGGCAGCGATGTAGCTCTGCTGATTGGAGAAGGCCACTCGGCCCGCACCTTTAGGGTATTTGAGTTCTGGGTCAGTGTCAATGCCGGCGTAACACACACCTCCATACAGTCGGTCCATGATCATAGCCAGCTCCACTAAACACACACAGAGCAGAAACACGCCATTATACAGAATATGATGGTAATGCACAAGATTACAATAAATGACATATTAAAAATTTGGGAGGACAACAAGAGAGATTCACCTGCTCGTAGAGGTCGTGGAACGCCTCCCACAAAAATGGTCTTGCGTGGGTCGAGAGGCTGAGAGCCATCCATCACGAAATCACTGTCACTCAGGTTCCACGGGCGAATCTGGACCTGAGAACGAAAAACTGTTCATCTCTAGCAGAAATTCAATGCAACAGGTATGTTTTAAGACCTAGTAGGGCCAAACTAGTTTTCTGTGAGAAAGTGATTTTGTGCATCTCAAATCTACCCTGTAAATTATATTAGCTTATTACACCAATTATTATTTATATATAACCTGCAGAAGGAAGAGCATGAGAGATGAGACAATCTCTGGCTGCACAGAGTCAGACTGCAGCCAAGACCAGAAGAGCTCAGAACACAGGAAGCACATAACCGCTGCTGACGGCAGACACTGAACTGAGTCTGCATGTGGAGGAATAAAGACAACCAGTTTGAAACTAACAGTAACCATTCACTCATTCTGGTGATCAGAGGACTTAATCTCATGATGCATATGTAAATACACACTTAACATGCATTTAGAGAGCACATATGCGGTCTGTGAATTCCTGACGTCTATCATTCTCAAGCCCTTCTGAAGGAGTGTTTTTCCTCTATAACACTGCAGTTTGACAACATCAGGATCAGAGCCAGCAGAAAGACCAGAGGGAAGAAAAGAACAAGGCATTCTGCCGCAGGGAAAGAGAGTAAACGAGTGTAAGGAGTCGAAAGAACAGAGAAATATCAACAACCTTGGGAAATTTAGTCAAAGGCATCAAAAGAAATCAGAGGAGTGTGTTGAGAGAGATTCATGAACAAGCATCAGATTTAAGAGTGCCAGAGGTTTCATCATTACAGCTTAAATATAATAAATAAATAAATAAAAAGTAATTTCAGATTGGATTATTCTACTCAATTAGAGATTATGATGAATGATAAAGATGTCTGAAAGAAATGTGTCTTCATGGAATTATTAAAAGTAAACATTTAAATATAATATTAAATATACTTAAATTAAAATATATTTAATAATAATAATTATTATTATCTCCTGAGTTTAAATATAATAACTAAATCCCTAAAAATACATTCAGATGGGATTATTCTAGTCAATTAGAAATTATGATGAATAATAACAAAGATATTTGAGAGATTTTTGTCTTCATGGAATTATTAAATCATGTAAAGAAATTTAAATGTAATAACATGCATAAATATATAATTAAATATATTTTACATACTAAATATATTTTTAAATATATATTTAAAACTATGTTTTAACTTAATAAATTATTTACCATTTTTATGCTTGCAAAAAAACAATTAATCAGAATAAGCAGCAACTTTTGAATGGTTTGTAGTAAAAACAATGGCTTTTGTTATGCTTGTTTTGTCTTCATGGAATTATTAAATCATGTAAAGAAATTTAAATGTAATAACATGCATAAATATATAATTAAATATATTTTACATACTAAATATATTTTTTAATATATATTTAAAACTATGTTTTAACTTAATAAATTATTTACCATTTTTATGCTTGCAAAAAAACAATTAATCAGAATAAGCAGCAACTTTTGAATGGTTTGTAGTAAAAACAATGGCTTTTGTTATGCTTGTGTAATTCCTGCATCCTCCAGCAGGGGCTAATTGGACCATGTTAACCAGCTAAACCTTGGCTTCACTTCCTTCCTGCTTTCCAGCTGGTTTCTGAACAGAAGGAGCTCTTAAATAAATCTCAGCGTTACTGATAAGCGTATAACAGCACCTGAAGAAGGCATTTAACCCTATTTAATGTGTTTCGAGCCTCAGCGCTGACCTCAGCCCTGCCCACTGTGAGTCATGATGCTTTACACAACACTGGACGGAAAAATGACCAGCATCTTCCATTCACTCAGTCTGGATCAGTGTTTCATATGAGCTGGAGGAACAATGAGCACATCTGCAAACAGCAGTTACACACGGTGACTGGACAGCGCAGGCATGAGGACTACTGCAGTCCAAATAAATAAAATCCATAAGTGCAGACCATTTTACAGAGCAGAAATCTCATAAATGAAGAAAAATACAGTGGCCTCAAAAAGTACTTGGACACGTACACCGTTCTTAATGTGTGAAATCACTGCATTATATAACAAAACATCAAACCATGTGACTTTTTTTTCATAATAACCTCACCAGACATTTTCATCACGGAGCACAGGACTTTTAACTATAAAATTCTAGAATTTTTTTTAATTAATTTAATTCATTTTTAATTAATAGCATATATGACACATGGATTTCTTTCATTCAGTTAAATATTTTAATTCAAATTCTTTACATAATAATAATAATAATAATAACAACTTCATTAATAATAATTTAATTCAATATAATCATTATACATTTTTATATACAGTCATGGCCAAAAATATCGGCACCCTTGGTAAATATGATCAAAGAAGGCTGTGAAAATTAATCTGCATTGTTAATCCTTTTGATCTTTTATTAAAAAAATTAACAAAAATCTAACCTTTCATTGGATAATAAGAATTTAAAATGGGGGGAAATATCATTATGAAATAAATGTTTTTCTCATATAAAAAACCAATGTGCCAATGTGTATTAGAGAAAAACATTTATTTCATAATGATATTTCCCCCCATTTTAAAT